GTTCAGTGTCACATATTTTATCACATTTCTTCTTCTTATCAATGTAAAAAACTGTTTTGCGGATTACAAATGTCGGTCCCACTTTATATTAAGTGGCCCTAATACCTGTGTACTTACATAGTAACTAGATGCTTGTACTTTCATTATCAAAAAGTGATGTTACAAATGTCCTGTTACACATTTGTACTTTCATTACCAAAAAGTGTTGTTACCAATGTCCTGTTACACATTTGCATTTACATATACCATTCGGAGGGTTGTTACAGATGTGTAGTTACACAAACATTACAGCTGTAGATACTATGCACCAATGTGTACTTACACTGTGGTTACATACTACGTACACATCTAGTTACTATGTAAGTACACAGGTATTAGGGCCACTTAATATAAAGTGGGACGTAAATGTGTTTACTTGATCAGAAACGTACATTTCTGATCAATTTAATGCATCCATGCTAAATAAAAGTTTTAATTTCTTCAAAAAATCTTTCTGATCCCAAGCTTTTGACAGTAGTGTATAAAACAAAGATAAACTATTTTGACTGCAGGATTAGGTTGGAACCGTTTAACACATTCTCTTTATTGGTGAAATCCAGTCTCAACTAGCTTAAACATGAAGCTATTTTGAGATCCAAAGTAATTGTTGAATTCAAATAGATGAAGTCTGAAAAGCAGACATATCAAATTTAATCTAACAAATAGTTTTTAGAAGGAATGCACACTTTTTTCCAGTGTGTTCACAATAAAGATTCAATCGGATACTGATACATTTCATGTTTAAAAAACATAAAAAATTCAGTCATGGACTCAGGAAGGATGATCTGACCTTCATATTATGACACGTCTTTTTAGTAAGGACGGAGCTCTGCATGCTTATAATAAATAACATCACTATTTTGAGGTTTGTTTTGGCTATTAGCTTCCAGTTTTGATGACTATTACTGTAAAATGTGGAAAACAGTCATAATAAAGAATGAGCAGTGTAGCTGTCCAAGCTGTGTTCTGTGTTGAGTCAGAGGTTGGCCTTCTTTCTGATGGTTTTGTCTGGCAATTGCCGTTCAAGGCTTGAATTTCTATTTTGTTTAGAGGCTTGGTTTCGTTTTGCCCGTTTTCATTGCTCACTGCTTGAGAATTGTTGTTTCTTGCTTTCTTTTCCTTTTCATTTGGTAAAATTATTTCTAGGCCCAGCCCTGTATGTTTTTAAAGGCAGAAATTCAAGCACCCCCCTGCAGTCCTCGTGTCCTGTGTCTGTCACATGACCGGCTCCTTTACACAGAGCAGATCAAATGTCTGAACACAAACATTAAGCTGCATCACACTAGACTTTAAATAAACAATAATAATATGTATAATACAAAATAAAATATTTATTAAAATGTATAAAAAAAATAACAATGCTGTTTATTCCTACGGAGCCCCGCACATGACATGCACGAAAAAATAAATAAATCGTGCGCACGATTTACTAATTTGTTCCCTCGATGTACTAAAATGTAAATTGTGCGCACAATTTAGCAAATCGAGGGAACAAAATAGTAATCGTGCGCACAATTTATAAATCGAGGGAACGAAATAGTAATCGTGCGCACAATTTATAAATCGAGGGAACGAAATAGTAATCGTGTGCACAATTTATATATTTTTTCATGCATGTCATGTGCGGGGCTCCGTATATTCCAAAAATGTATTTTTAGTAATCAAAAACATGGAAATAACAATGAATTCCAGGCCTGGAAAAGTCTGAGAAAAATCTTCTAAAGTCATGGAAATTTTAATAATGAATAGTAATCTTTCTAGGTTTGTTCTGCTGTAAAATATTTCATTGTGATCAAACTGCTCTTTGTTTTTGCTTGTGTTGAGTAAAACATTCATTAGTTTGTCCATTGGTCTAATTGGAGACATTTGTACACTGATATGTATAATTACTCAAGTCTATTTTTTCCAAAGCCTATCATCTGACATACAAATGGAAATCCAACCCAGCAATCTTTGTAAAATGGTAAGAATTACTTGTGAATGGGAGTGAATGGAACATGAGGTCTAGTGTGACGCACCTTTGGTCACGTCGTGGAGTGAATGGATGAGGAGAACACAGTGCCAGATTTTACAGCTCTTCAATCTCTCCTGTCCTCATATGTACAGTAATTAATTCCCTTTATTCATCCACTCTCGTTACGCTCATACATTTACAAGCCCTTTTTATATATATATTTTTTATAAGAAGGATTGTATAAATGTAAACTTCTGAGTACAAATGTCTGTTCGCAGCTTTAATTTTAAAGAGAAAATGAAGACGTGTGCTAAATCAGATACTGATGAAAATAAAGTCCAAAGCATACTTTAGTTTTAACGCAAACACTAAGCATTTGCTTACAACCGAATGCACAGCCTTTCAATGTAGACTTCAATACTATTAGGGGTGTTCAATATATATCATCTGCGATAATATCGTAAATGTTGTTTTAACGATATGCGATTTGATGCTATCGAGTATTTTGCAAAAACCATTATATTTCCTGTTTTTGCGCTATTTTGACAACAAAAATGATTCCAAACAAAGCCACAGCACTGTTTTGCGTCTCTGAGCAGCATGACGGTGTTTCGTTCCTGAATGAATGACCAGTTTAAATGATTCGGTTCAATCGCAATGACTCACTTATTAACAGTGACTTGCTGGCGATTTCACATTCAAAGTATCTTTTATTATTTAAGTAATTTAAGATATCAGTATTCAATGTTTTATGTTTAATAATATATAAAAAATGTATGCATTTGATCTCTGAGCAGCATGACGGGGTTTCGTTCCTGAATGAATGACCAGTTTAAATGATTCGGTTCAATCGCAATGACTCACTTATTAACAGTGACTTGCTGGCGATTTCACATTCAAAGTATCTTTTATTATTTAAGTAATTTAAGATATCAGTATTCAATGTTTTATGTTTAATAATATATAAAAAATGTATGCATTTGTAATTGCAGGTTAAATGCATTCATGTCTTGCATTAAACTGTGTGTAAATACATCTAAATGCCACTTCAGATGCAACTTCTGTGTTTCCTCTGCATTGCAAAGATGAATTTTATTGATACGGATTCCATTTGCTTGGTAACAGCCCAAATGTCGTATTATTCTAATTCACTGATTAAACGTAAGAATTTGACTCAAAAGATAGTGGACACTTTTATAAAGCTTTACTGTATAAAGGTAAAAATGCCCATAAAATATAAAAATCAGTTTAAACTTATTGGAGAAGATTAATTTCTATCAGTGTGAACTGACCGCCACACAGACTATGAAGAATATCAAAAACTTTAGGAGTCAGCTGTCCACGGTAGTCCTTAAGGTACCTTGAGCAAAACATCGTCTAATTATCATTATCGATAAAATCCCAGAAAATATTGAGATATTATTTTTTGTCAATATCACACACCCCTATGTACAGGCTCTCAACACTTAAAATTCCACATCTGTGTCCAGTATTTGCTTAATTTCTCTCCAGAAGTAACTAATAAAAAGGCCTCCAAACTCATTTAAACTAGAGTGTCTCTGTTGCATCTACAATAGTTCCCTTACTATTTCATCCTAACTGTACACTTCATGTAATTTTACAGTAAAATAGGGTTAAATATACAATTTTTGGAAGTAAAAAAGGTATAATTTACAATGAAAAACCATGTTCCCAGAATTCCCTGTAAGACTTTTTTTGTAGTTTGTTTAGCCTAAATAATTGTGTTTCTTAACAGTTTATGTTATCAGTAATGTACAATAGGATTTTTATGTTGAATCTTAAATTGATAAATTCATGTTTTTTTTCCCATTATTGTATAGTCATATGTTACCACGATTGTTTTGAATTTGTGTGTATGACACTGTACACCTTCCATATATCAATAGGCATCATATATCTATACACCTTTATATATTATTATTATTATTATTAATTAATTATTTGTAAATTACAAAATGTACAGGTTGCTTTGTAAAGATGTTTACATTATACTGAATTATTCTGGCAACCACAGCTGCCAGTTTTTTTTTTATTTTATTTTTCTGTTAAAACAACATGTACATAGTATGAAAAATTCCTTATTCAAAGAACACCTGAATGACCAGCTATATTTGCCATTACATGCAATATACAGCAGGGAATACTACATAAGATATCGCATCCCACAATGCATTGCAAAGCACTTGACTTGACATGTATGCATAGAAAGTATTCTGTACTTTAAACACTCCTTTTCTAACATAAGGGTTATTTTACACAAAATATGATGCCAAAATAATGCTCTTATTTACAATATGGTAACTGGGAATCAACGTGATGAGGTCCTGGGACAACTATTGCCATACTACTTTCTTAAACATTAATGGCACAAGAAACATTTACTGTTTCTCTCAATACTTCTAAAAACCTGTGGTTAATAGTAGATTAATTGGTAGTCCGCCCAAAATGTAATTGGCTGAGTAAGCGGTCAACATGTTGGGCCGCTCAAACAAACAGAGCAAAATTGTCAGCGCCACACTTTTTACACTCTTCGTAAGTCATCCTTAGTCTTCTTTATTACATATTAAACCAGGAAAGGACAAAAGTATTTTAACATCAAAAAACTTTAAGCTGCATAAAGTTTAAATATACACAAGTTGTATACGTGTGTGCGTGAGAGTGAGAGAAACAGGGCGCGAGGCAGCCAGTGTGTTTTATACGGTGTGTTAAACGGAGAACAAAGTGAAGTCAGTTTTAATGGTCAAACATTAAAATGCCTTCCCTCAAGCAGCCAACCCAAGATCACACCCTCACACACACGAACGTTCACACACACACACACACACACAGCTTCTATTCAAATGGAAATGTTCAGCGCCGTGGGTCAATGCTGGATTGAAACTGTTAACAGATCATGGTCTGGCTGCACTCCTACACTTCCTGCATGTAAACAGTGTGAGGATCACTGGAGGCAAAGATGCACACACACACGGCAGTGCTAGGTTACCTTTGCTGCTTTGCTGTTTTTTGGCAGCGGCGGCGGAGTCCTCCGACTGAGCCAGACGTCTGAGCACGTCTGCCAGCGCGGCCTTCATCACCATCAGCTCATCTTCCTGCTGCTGCACCCGCAGCTCCAGAGATGACAGGCGGTCCTGCACGTCTGATGTGCTCGCCGCAGAAATACTGTCATCTGCCAGAGAAAGAGAGATAAAGATGACTTGCTCATCATATAGTACAGATGCACAATATAGAAGTCTTGTCAGATATATTTTCTCTTCTTTGGACAACAATATCATTGTCAATATTATAAATGATTAACATTAAAATTGTTCAAAGAATTAAAAACACAACATACACTCTTAAAAATAAAGGTGCTTCAAAAGGTTCTTCAAGCGATGCCATAGAAGAACCATTTTTGGTTCCACAAAGAACCATTCAGTCAAAGGTTCTTTAAAGAACCATCTCTTTCTTGCCTTTTTATAATCTGAAGAACCTTCTTTCGCCACAAAGAACCTTTTGTGAAACAGAAAGGTTCTTCAGATGTTGAAGGTTCTTTATGGAACCATTTAGACAAAAAGGTTCTTCTATGGTATCGTGAAGCACCTTTATTTTTAAGAGTGTAGTGGGTGTGTCTATATGTAGCTCCTGCAGCAAAACATTTTATTTATATATATATAAAATCACAATGCAATTTTACATACATGACAGTTCAAAAGTTTGGGGTCAGTAAGATTTATTTTATTTTTATTATTAATAATTGTATTCAGCAAGGGCACATTGAATGCATTGAAAATTACAGCAAAAACATTTCTGATACTATATATCTATTAATATCTATAAATGCTCTTCTTTTGAACTGCATATCACAGTTTCCACAAAAAAATATTAAACAGCACAACTGTTTTCAACATTGATAATAACATTAAATGTTTATTGAGCAGCTAATCAGTATATTAGAATGATTTCTGAAGGATCATGTGACACTGAAGACTGGAGTAATGATGCTGAAAATTTAGCTTTGATATAACAGGAATAAATTATATTTTAAAATATAAAAGTTATTTTAAATTGTAACAATATTTCACAATATTACTGATTTTACTGTATTTTTTGATCAAATAAATGCAGCCTTGGTGAACCTTAGAGACTTCTTTAAAAACATTAACAAAATCGTATTTATTCCAAACTTTTGACCGCAAGTATATTTTATATATAAATCCCTTTTATCTAGAATTATTTCAGCAAATAAAAGCGCAAACTATTCCGCAGAACTCTCATACTGTAGCGTTAATTCAAAACAGTTCTCTGTTGTCTAGATGAATATATCCATGGAGCATTAGTGGACACACTGTTCATATAGAGCACCACTGTAGCCGTTCTTCAAAGCACATTTCCCATTGATAAGTGACATCTGTGCTTTCCCAATCTTGAAGAGCACCAGACACCACTAATGTCAACAAACAACATGGAGAATGGGCTTGGGGCTGTTTATACACAAAACGGAAAAAGAAGGAAAGAGGCAAAAAAATATGAATGAGACAGAGGGAGACGTGGGCAGCACAGCTTATCAGTTACAGATGGAATCGGTGGTAAGCAAAGGCCATTTTATGCATTAAGTCTTGGCTCTTTCCTCTAGCAATTTCATTGGCTGCTGCTATTCATGCTCTTTTGCTTGTCAGAGACTATGAATGCATCTAAACACAGGTAGGCTGGATTTCAGAACCATGAACCATGATTTGCTACTTGTTATTGCTGATCATAAACAGGTGTTATTTCATCAATATTTGATGTCGCAAAAAGAAAGTACATTTTATTGAAAATGTTGTATTTAAATTGTATATTTTATAAGCAAATATTTGTTAAAAGTGAATTGTGTCCACTTTGAGTACAGGAAGTTCAGTAGCACTTATATACGCCCTCAAAGCTAACAGACATGAACTAGCAGTCAAACACGACAGAACGAGAAGAGTCGGTCCACTAGTGTGAGCTAAGCTTCAAGGTATAGTTGAAAAGTTCTCCAAAATGAAAATTCTGTCATTAATTACTCACCCTCATGTTGTTCCAAACACATAAGACCTTCGTTCATCTTCGGAACACAAATTAAGATATTTTTGATGAAATCCGAGAGCTTTCTGACCCTCCATAGACAGCAATGCAACTGACACATTCAGAAAGTTAAAATAGTCCATGTGACATCAGTGGTTAATTAATGACAGAATTTTAATTTTTGGGTGAACTATCCCTTTTGTCTGTCTGGAAATCGGGTATTTTAAAAAAATTATATAGATAATGTTAATATTACACATTTGATAAAATCGTACATAATCCAAGACAGTAGGTGGCAGTATTGAACCTTAACGCTAGTTGCCACCCATCTTAAAACAGAAAAAATAAGACAACAGAAAAGTGCAGAAATTTAAATCAAATGTAATTCAATGTAAAATAATACTGCATAGTTTTCTTTTTAGAAATAAAATAGATTAATCCTTAGTTACAAGTTATTCAGTCAAGATCAGTGAGTGATTTTCTTCTTTTGTTCTTAAATTAAAGGGATAGTTCAACCAAAAATGAAAATTTTGTCATTAATTACCCTCGTGTTGTTCCAAACCCGTAAGACCTTCGTTCATCATTCAACCCGTAAGACCTTCGTTCACACCGGATCTGGGTCAGCGCCGGCACCGCCACACGCTCGCGTCATGGTACTGTCGTGAACGCGCGTCCACAAGTGACGCAGTAGAGATGAAAATGTGGAATAAAGTCATTATTTTTGTTTTCTTTGCGCAAAATAAAATACCATATAACAACTCAAACTCTCACACACCAACAAATCTCTGATCCAAGCTTGAAACCAAACCATGGGACAGTTTTACACCACTAATAAATCACTGGAAGTACTCACACTCTCACCCACACAAAATTCACAAACAAAACACATGGGCACAAATACAAAAAGATTATTACCACACTGCACATCCAGCTCTTGAAAAATCGGCAAATTCCCTACATAGCGCTAATGATAAGGGTGCCTGCAGTCTTTAGGTCACTGCGGAGCTCCGTGTGGAGATGGGGAGGAGGTTCCCAAACATCTCAAGGTTGCAGGAAGTAGCCAATAAAATCCAATCTCTGAAAGGCTGTGAAACGGCTGCAATATTTCATTTGCTTTCTCTGCCCGTGGTTTCCTCCCTGTCTGCAGGTCCTTCCTCTCAAACCGTCTTATCTCAGCAGACCACGGAAACATGGAGAGGGCAAACGTTTATAATACAATGCATTTCTTTGAGAGGAAATCGCTTTGGGAAGTTGTTTGATACTGGCAGTGTGTACGGAAAAACCAAGGGCAGAGGGAGCGCGCTAAATAGAAAGAGAAAGGGAGGGTTGGAAGGTGACAGAGTATCCCCAGGTAACCTCCACCGAATATATCAATGGCATGACATTTCTCCAGAATGCCGTACACCTAAAATTAGTATAAACGTGGCCTCTTCCACATTTCTACCCATGATTCCTTGTGGGCTAAGAGGAAGGAAGGCCTACGCACATGTCATATTTCACAATAGCTCGTCACATTCCTTAGTTTTCTCCACCACCCCTTCAGCACGTACACCTAAATGCCCACACACCTCCAACCTAACACACATCACCTCAGAATGCAACCAATTTATCTTGCATAGAAGATACGCAGACCTCCCAGACTCGGACCAGAGCCCAACATACGCTCATACGCACAACGACTCGGTGCGGGACAATACCATGGCACGTGGCCAGACTGCATGCTTGTAAGACTTGTTTTTGTCGTGCTTCATTTTGACTGGAGGTCTATGGAGGAAATCCTCAGGATTAGATGGCAGATTTACAGCTGAGATAAGACTCAGTGGTGCAATCAACGGCATTCAGGCTCTAGTCGCACACAAACACAACGTTCGCTAGCATTGATTGATGTGTCTTGTTAATCTTCATCATTTGCAACACTTCTTGTTAACAGATAGCCCTGATAATCTGTCGTGGTGTTTAGCTGTGAGCTTCCTGAGTACGAGATAAGGGATAGATGGAAGCATCGACTGGCCGCACACAAAACTGGGTTGGACTTGACCTTCATGAAGCAGCAGAGATGTCTCTTGTGTACCTGGCAAGAAAAATAATCAAGTCACGCTGCCGGGGTTAGGAGATCATTAAAACACTCGGCACACTTGTAAACTGGAGTAGAGCACAAAGCTGCACATGTCTGAACTGGTTATGTGTGTGTGAGAGTCTTATATGGTTTAGAGAACAAAACATTTAACTGAAGTAGGGTTATTATACTCTCACACATGCATTCCATAATTAAATGGAACTGAATGCTTGCAAAAAGTACTATGGAATTATCATGTTTTATTAGACACGTACCATGTTATTTTTGTACACAGTACCATTGTAACACCCTTTTTTTTGGACGTCGTACTATGATATTATCATGTTTTTGGTTGCACTTTATTTTACACGCGCACTTACATTGTACTTCCTCAGGAAAGTACTGAGCGAAATAAGGTTGAGTAAAGGTTAGGTTAAGGGGTAGATTCTAGGTTAATACCTAGTTAGTACATAGATAACGCACTAAGTGTATTAAAAGGGGTCATATAACGTTGCTAAAAATAACATTATTTTGTGTATTTGGTGTAATGCAATGTGTTTATGTACTGGCATTTTCTGCCGGATCGGGTATCGGTCAGACGAACCGATCCAAATCCGATATTGTGCTTATACTATTCTGTGTTATTGTTAAGCCCCACGAAAGCACAAACACATTATAAAGCACCATAAAGTCAAAGTACAAGTGTTCTGAAGCTGTTCCATAGTTCAGTGTGAAGTACAGATGAATATTTAAGTCATTAAATTCAAGTTCATGTAAACTCTTCTCTCCGCTGCGGTTGTCTGTCATCCTCCATTCAGCATTCAAACTGAAGGTGTCCTGTTTGGTTACAATAGTCAAGACGATGAAACTCTCTCCAAGAGCGCACAATAACTGAGATTTAAAACTGATAATTTTTTAATTTTAACTTTAATAAACTACGCATCAATATCTCTTTCCTTTGTGCTTTGAACTTCTCTGTGCGGAGCTGCACGCTGTGACTCCGTGTTGCTTCAAGCGCATCATTCTGTGCACTGGATGCGCATAAGCGCTTTGTGCCTCTCTGTATTGGAGCTTTTTGTATTATATAA